GCAATAGGCTTGCTCAGTGAGAAAGGAATTGTATGGCGGAAAATAATTTGTTACCCACAAGGATGTGGAAACACTTTTGGATTATAAAGATTGCAAAGTGTAGACTGGTTGCTCCTACCCATATATGACAACTGTACTTCCTTTCTGGCTTGATCTGGCTCTTGTAAAGGTAGAGGGTAGCAGGAGGAGTCAATTACTTATTGGAGCAGTACATGGAAGCAACCACTTTTGTCTGTGTTGATTGTTAGGATCTCAAAGGACTGGCTGTTAACAACTATTTTCAGGAATCTACCTATTAGGAAGGACTTTATGATTGAGAAAACTCTTCCCATGATTCCATAGCTAGAGTCATACAGTAATCCTTTATGCCACACCTTGTCAAAAGCCTTTGAAATATCTAATGCAATAGTCCTTGAGATGTACTTGTTGTTGAGTGCCTCACTGATTCTCTGAGTAATAGAAGTTAGGACATCAGCAGTAGATTGGACTGATCAAAACATGTACTGTTTGTCATTAAAGAGGTTGTCTCTATTGAGGTGATCAACAACCTTCTTGTTGATTATAGCTTCAAAAAGTGTGCTAATGACACTGAGTTGTATGAGTCCAATTGCCACCTTCCACAGATTTGGAAAGGATTTCTCCTTCAAGCAGCTGTTAAATAATTTCAATAAGATCAGAGCTAATTCCAAGTTCATATTCTTAAGAACAACCACTGGGATTTTGTCTGGGCCAGTGGCTTTCTTAGGGTCAAAACTTTGGATAAGTCGTGTGACCTCGGGTTGTAATAAAAATACTACTGATATCATGCTCAGTGAGATGGAGGAAGTTGGGAAGGGGATGACCTATGTCATCTAATGTTGAGTTAAAGATTGAGATGAAGAGCTTCGTCTTATCTGACAAGGATGAGATGATCTTAAGGCCATTTATAATAGTGGGCACTGATGTTTTGCTTCTATTTGGTTGGAGATCTTCCAGAACTCCTGGAATCCACTTTGTTTTCACCCTGGACCATTTGTGCATAGCTACACATTGTATTTTCTAGAACATTCTTGCAGTGATTGCAGGCAGTTGTGAATGCAGAAAGTGTCCAACTACATGGTCCCTGTGATAGATATTGAAGTAGTGTTTCCAGTGCAGAATATTCAGGGGTGAACCAGAGCTGGATTTTGGATTTTTGCTGATATTTTTCTGGGGTATAAAACTCTTCTTTCCAGAAAGGATCCATTCTGACACAAGGGCAGTAATTTTGGAGGCAGTATGCTTGAAGATAAAAAGAAAAGCTTCTGCCATATAAAATTTGAAGCTGTCTTGGTGTAGCGAAAAATCATTCTATGGAACGGTACATCAACTTTGACACTGACTCGTGAATGGTCTGATGTGTTGGAGGGGATAATATGAATCTTCTCAGATATTTGGTTGAACATTAGAGTCCCATCTTTCTGAGGAAGATCCTCAGGACAATGGGACTCTACTGTTTGACTGTGAGTGAAAATGAATGTGGTACTGGGGATAAGTGTTACACAGAAGCATATATATATATGGAAGATCAGGGGCCTCACATTTTGTGTCTCTGCCACAGGGAAACCTATCCTATATTAGGTTCTGAGCTGGTGGCAATTTCAGTCATCATATTTTGCTATTAGAGGTGAGTAGCCCAGGATTGCGAGCCCCTGCAGTGGGATAGAGTTATCAATACCAGTTTCAGACAGAAATAGGAGGTCGCTTTTGGTCTTAAGAAGATGGAGTTCCACCTCTAGAAAGTTGGAACATAGACCCTTCACATTAGTGTAGGAGATGGTGAACCTGGGGTCAACTTTTTCTTTTTGAGGTTGGGTTTGATGATTTTATTCAATTTAGTTGTGTTCAGGTGAAGATAGCAGTTTGTTTAAGAGAAGACTAGGTAGTGCGACTGTCACACCCACAGAGGATTCATGCATCAGTGACCTGGATTGTACTGTTCGGAGATATAACCATAACACTAGCCTTCCTCATGGCATCAAGAGATGCCATTGAAGACTACTGAAAAGTTCAGAACCCATTCACAATATGGCAATACAATAACTCCAATATTATACACCTTTTGATAGGATAGCTTCCTTTGAAGTTACTCAAAGGTTCCAATCACTGACTATCAGATGGATAATACCAAAACCCCAAAAACATTTACCTCCAGCACCCTTAATAAAGAGACAAATAATCCAGGAAAGAAGATACAAGTGTATATGTCTCACCTATCCAGAAATCAAGACAACAGAACTCCTCCTTAAGTCAGAAACATTGTACCAGTCTGAGATCTATGGTACCAATACAACATGCTCATATATATATATATATATATATATATATATATATATATATATGAAAACTAAAAGACCCACTGGGAGGAAATAAGGTAACAAAGGTTGACTGGGTCTATCAGCATCCCCTATCTCCATTTGATTTAATATTATCATAGAAGCAAAATTACATAGACAAGAGAAAATTTCCTTTGGCATACATCAAAGAATGCTGAAAGGAAGAAATTGCAGATGGATAAAAAGAGTCATAATTTCAAAAAGTAATAGAAATTCATGTTTAAATTATTACATACTGATCTGGATTTGCACCCTAATTAATTATCAAACAAATATCTTATCTATTTAACCCAATTCAGGTGTGAGAAAGTGGAAAAATGCTTTTAGAAGAAAAAATAATTTGTGAAGGAATTTTGTAAACCATGCAGTTACCTTGCAAAATCTAAGGAGATCAAGAAAACAAGTATGAAATAGTGTAGAAAAGAATATATACATTGTTTAAATTAGAAATGTTTCCTTAATTGCAACTTTTATTCTTTTCATCAGCTGCAAATGTATCTGCAGTGAAAATGGGTATCTAGACATCTACCAACTCTCAGTATGAGAAAACTGTAAACATATGTTTGAAAATTACACAGAAACAAATAGATTCTATCTGTTCTGATTGAAAATTCACAAAACTAATTTCTTAGGCAGTAATTATGAAAGCAAATGCACATTATGTCCTACTCATCAGATTTCTGTTCCTGCCACATGACATCAAAATAATTACAAGAATTAGGTTTTTCTTCTTTTGGTGTATAGACCATTCACATCGGTGTAGGAGATTGTGAACTTGGGAGTCTACTTTTTCTTTCTGAGATTGGTTTTGATGATTTTGTTCAATTTAGTTGTGCTCATATGTAGATAGCAGTGTGTACAAGAGAAGACTAGGTAATGAGACAGTCACACCCACGGGAGATGCATGTGTCAATGACCTGGATTGAACTGTCTAAAGATATAGCCATAACAGTAGCCTTCATCATGGCATCAGACAAAATTTAGACACAAATGTTTTTCCTTAGACCATTTACAAGCCAGCAGATTCTGCAGCCAATGGTTAGATTTGAAACTACATTAGGAATTCTATATGCCAGCAGTTCACCTCCAAGTTCTTGTACTTCATTTTTAGGTGTTGGGAATAAGGAGAGACTGAAGAAATGTGGGAGATACTTACACAATATAAGGCCAGAGAAACTCACAACTGTTAGAAAATACTATACATTCAATTTAAAAATCTTTATCTTCCCTCAAAGCAAGAAGGAAGAACCAATTAAAAAATATTAAATTATAAAACTCATACCAAAAATTGTGCATATTTAAAAAAATCTCTGTTCAATAAAATTTTCATACCAAGAATTTATAAACTGCAACTTTAAAATATTGCAAAAAAAAAAAAAAAAAAAAAAAAAAAAAATTATTCAAATATGACTTCCTCCAAAAGTCAATGGTTGTGTTAAGATAAAAAAGGGATATAAATTTTTCAATACTATTTCTCAAATATGACTTAATGCATGAAGCAACTCCATAAAAGTAAAAAATAACATACTATTCACTTAGAACAACTACTTATTATCAGTAATTTGCATGTTCAAAATCTTCAGGCTTTATTCACAGAAAAAGAGGGAGGGTTTTACTACAAATTAAATTTGCTTGTTTTCAAAGAGGTCCACAATGAAGCATACATAAAAACAGTGTTTTAAGACTCAACAGACTAACACAAGATCAAAAAGGATCATTTGTGAGTGGACTGGATAAAAAGGACCTTAGAAATAGTTTCATATGTTTGTCAAAAGTTCATTGTTTTTTTAATCTGTTATGTAAAATCCTGAAATATTTTGTGTATTTAGATTAGTTGTCCAATGGAACTTTGTAATGAAAAATGATCATTGATTCTTTAAAAAAGTAATATATGAAAACAAAAATTCATTTTTGCATACATTACTAGAATATATTGTAATTTAGTACAAAACAAAACTGTTTATTTCATAGATTAAGATTTTAATATTTTTACTTTAATCCCAGGCAAATATAACAAAAAAAATCCTGAATGTTTTTAAATACGTTATATATTTCAGAAATAGTGTCTTTTCCTCTGAAATGTCTCAACTTGGCCAAATACAACCTGGTTTACATATAAAACATTTTTTACAGGAATCTGCTGGCTAGTGTGCATTATTGATTACAAGCTTGTTGCTGGCCTTTAAGACCAAATTTTCAATATACTGATGATGTCAAAATAATTTAACAACACAAGCCTAGCTAAGCTAGTTTCAACAGCACCAATCATAGTAGCAGGTCAACAAGAGTTGTAATAGTAGTAAAACTAATAATATTAATAATAGTCATATGTTTCTACTTCCAAAACAATATTTATTTCATTCACTTAATATTGTGTTTAAGAATGATTGCTTCATTTTCTAAGGTTTATCAACCCTTTGAAGGTTATTTAAAGCCAGAAAATATTTTTAGATTGTAAGATTTTTTTTTTTTAAGGGAGAAAGATAATGATTAAATCTTACTATTAATCCATAGCTGGGAGAAGAGGTGGATTCATACTGTACCTAAGGGTATTTGCATGTGGGTGAATATAACAAACCCAACTTGAATTGACTCTCCAATTAACAATTCCAAGCCATTATCCATTACACCAACAGCACATCCAAGCTTACAGTATCTGTTATTCCCAAGTGGTTGCACATCTAGGTACTGACCAGGCTCAACGTTGCTTAACTTTGGTGACAGATCATATGGGAACTGGTGCTTTAATGTGATGTGGCTGTAAGCCTGTGTTTTAGATATTGTTCACAAGTTAAAAAGATCCATTTTCTTGTTAAAGAATTTTTTTTAGAGTGTATTTACTAATCTAGAATATTTTGTAATAAAAACTTTTCTTTTTTTTTTTTTTGTTTTTACTTAATGATATCAGTCAACCTTATTTTATCTCATTGGACAATAATCTGAAAAACAGTGTTATAAAGGTTCTAATTGTGGAAAAATTGTTATCTTTCTGTAGCTATAGTTTGAATATAAATTATAAATGTGTTTTTTATGATTTTTTGTAGTTAAAATATTAAAAATGTTATGAGTTTTTGGTGGAATACTACAATTTCTCAGTAAAAATGTCAAAAGTAATCTGGTCTTATTGGGTAAAGTGCTATATCTGGAGGAAGCCACTGTTTGTGGCTAGAGAAACTCAAAAAATAGAAAAGAAAAACTCATCAATGTAATGCTTTGACACCAAATTTGATTTTACTACACACATTTAGCAATGTTAAACAGTAGTTTAGAGAGGAAAATAAATATGTATGCATTTAGGAAACTTGAGAGGAAATAATTAAATCTAAATTTTAGGCATGTTTTGAATTTAATTAACATTTATAGAGATAGATATGATCTGATTTAGATAAGTTGACAAATAAAGAGGGAGAAATCTAATATTTAAAGAAAAAGTTTATCTCAAGATTTGTTTTATTTTAATTTTTGCAAATTTTTTAAACTTGTCATCTTAATAGCTTCATTACAATTTTGCAAATATTAATTTATCAGCTATGAAAAATTATTCTTTTCTTTAAAAAAGAATTTAGAACAAAAGTTTGGAACCAAAACAGTTACTTGTGATTAACATGAGAATTCATGCATTAAAAAAAAAAAAAAAAAGAAAAAAAAAAGTCACGTAATGTCATTGATGATTTCAGATGGACAATTACAGAGATGGGCGGTTTAACTGAAAAACTAACATTTTTTGGTTTCATCTTCATACCTTGAAGCCGCATCAAAACTTTTTACAAAACCGAACAATTTCAGTTTCATTTTTATATCACTTCTGAGTGACCATATACAAAGAAACACTATTGAAAAAGACTTTCAGATGTTAATAAAATTAAATTTTATCAACATTTATATCATTGTAAGAGAAAAAGATTGAACAAAAATATGTTAAAAACATTTAATTGACTAGTTTTAGTAAATGAAATACACCTAAAATTAGATATTAAAAAAAAAAAATGAAGTTTTCATCTCAGTTTTAAAATGTGTATATTTTCAAAACTGCAAGTCATTTTTTTTTTTAAACCCAAAGTAAAAATTATTCTTTCTTAGCCACTAGTCAGTGTCAAACAGTAGTTTCAATAATTTGAAAGTTCTTTTACCACACATTTACTATCAGTTGCTTTTCTTTTTTTGTTTAATTTACAATTTTTGAAGGAATTCGCTTCCTCAGTTCACAGAAGAAATGAACATCTTCCGGGTCATTGTTCAAGGTGTCTTCTAATTAGTGTACAATTTCAAGAATATTAATAAAGATTGGTCACTTTGATGTTGCGAAACAAAGTAATAGGTAAAATTTAGCTTAGTCTTAAAAAAAAAAAAAATGAATAAATAAATCACATTTTGTATTTTCACCTGGTCAAAGCAAAATACTGTTTGCTGTAAAAAAAATAATTCAATGGAAAAGCACAGACAAATTACATATCTGGAAAGATTATTTTCTTTTCTTTCCAGCCATATGAATATTTTTAAGATTGGACTATAAATAAATGAGTAACTGAAAATTGAACAGACTGAGTTGTAAATTTGTCAATCTCAAATGAAATCAAATATTGACTGGAAATGCTGTCATTACACAAGAAAATGAATGGCAAAAATACTAAATTAAAAACCAAATCAAAAACCACGGTATGAAGGGAAAAAAAACGGAAACCAATACTGAAACATAAATTGCCAAACTAACTCTAGACAATTATAACGATAGTGTCAATGTATGTCAAAAGTGATGATAAGCAGTATATACAACTTTAAACACATTTTTTTTTGTTTTTTCAAGTTGTCTCCACAAATAATCATCATCATATAACTAGAAAGTGATGATAAGAAGTAAATATTTGTGCAGAAACTGACTTGCTAAGTGTGAGAAAGAAAAACTAAATCCTTACTGGTAAGGGTAGGTAATTACCTACAAAGACCAGGTTCAAATGCAGTAGCCATTCAAATACAACTCTGATTAGTGTTTTGTTTTTTTTTTGTTTTCTTTTTCCTCTCTTCAGCCAGAATTCAATGGAACTCTATGTAATCATCAGAGTGAATTAATCATTTTAAGAATTCATTTTTATAAACTTTATCCATGATATCTCAGGTGCAAAAAACTGATGATGATGACAAATTCCAGTGCCTGTGAGACACAAAGACAAAATCTCACATTGTTTTTTCTCAACATCAGTTGGTTTCATTTTCCCAAGTTGGAAACAGCAGAATTTTATTCTTTTCTTAGCTACTGACAAAAAAACTAAGATTTTGTACCTGCAAGTATTACAATAAATATTAGAAAAAAAAAGCTACTTAGAAAAATAATTCATGTGCAGAGATGGAGTGAAAAAAAAATATATATATTTAATTTTCACAGAATATGAAAAAATGCTGCAACACAGAAAAAAAAATTCTTCATTAAAAGTATTTTACATTTGAGAATATTTTTTGCAGATTTGCCAGAAGAGGTTTTATATCCGAGTTTCTGTAAATTTTTATAAAAGTAAAATAAAACATTTTTCTGAATTGCATGGATGTAACTATTTTGATGGATTCAATATTCCCAAACAAAGCAAACATTACAACATCTTTTTAAAGTGACTTGTATGATTGTATTTATTTCAGGTACTTATAAACCCAGTTAATTCTACTAGTATAAAATAAAAACTTTCACCTTGACATGTTAATGTTTATATATGGGTTAGGTAATTAATGATAAAAATTTTATTTTAATAGCTAAGAGTTAATTTTTAAATAAAAAGATCATTAAAATAGATTTTTTTTAACATTTTGAATACTGAATATCTGAAATGAAAAAAATTACATGTACAACAAACAATAACGCAGGTGTTCCCCAAGGCTCCATCCTAGGCCCTACTCTGTTCCTTATCTTCATCAACGATCTTCCTGACATCATAGATTCCCAAGTAGGCATCTACGTGGATGACACAATTTACTCCTGCCTCAAAAACAAATCTAGTGTCGCTGACAAAAGTAACCTGGCTGTTCATCTCAAAAAGGACCTCCAATTGGTTGTGAACTGAGGCAGGAATTAGCTGGTTAACTTTAATGCCTCAAAAACAAAACTGCTCTCTATTAATCACCAGAGATCCTTCCCTGTCCCCCATTAGAATGTCTGACACTCAACTTCTCGAGAGCACCTGTCTGCAGCTGCTCGGTCTCACATTGTCTGCTGATCTAAGATGGAACAAATACATTGAGTCAATTGCTACGTCCACTGCAAGGAATGTTGGCTCCCTGTGCCACGCCAGGAAATTTTTCTCCCCGGAATCAATCCTTCGAATCTACAAATCAACCATTCACCCCTGCATGGAGTACTGCTGCCATATATGGTCTGGAGTCCCTTCTGTTTGCCTCAGGGTTCTTGATAAGATCCAGAGACGGATATGCAATACAATTGGCCCTGATCTGGCATCTTGTCTGCAGTCGCTCTCTCACAGACGTGCCGTCACCTCTCTCTGTCTTTTTTACAAATACATTCATGGTAATTGCTCCGATGAGCTGCATTCACTGGTTCCCAGGCTTCATGAATTCAAGTGTCCTACAAGGCTGGCATCCCGCTGTCACCCTTTCACTGTTGAAACTGTTAAATGTAGCCATCTCTTCTACTCCAATCGCTTCATATCTCACACCTCTTGCCTGTGGAACTCCCTTCCCTTTTTCTGTTTCCCCTGATAGCTATAATCTCCAACTATTCAAATGTAATGTCAATAGACATCTCCAGTTGCCTTGATCTATCCACTATCCTTCTCTTCATCCTTTCCTCTATCACTCCTATCTGCTCTCACTCCAAATCCTATGTAACCCCTTGCGTGCTAGTGGCTTCCAGCCTTGCTTGGGGTGAAATGCTTATAAAAAAAAAAAAATAGAAAAATTAACTTTTTACCAAAATTGAAAAGTATTTAAAATATCCTAAGTTTACTCTGAAGTAACATAATAAAAATTATTAAATATTGCTTAAAGCAATACCTTTGAGTTCTGAATGTGACTTGAATTTTCTACAGTGGGTATACATTTAGGTGCCAATTTCTATGTTCATTGCAAATATGTAGAGATATGTAGGATGTATAAAAACCATTTTTCTATATATATATATATATATATATATATATATATACATACATACATACATACATACACATGTGTGTTGGTGAAATATGAATTATTTTTTCCTCCATAAATTTTAAAGATTTATTTTATAAAAAATTTGTATAAAAATAATTATTATGTTGGATTACTGCCCCTTCATAATCACTAGTGGTGTGATATTTGAAAGGTTCTTCCTCTTTTCCTTTTGACTTTTGGAGCAGAAACACACTTCTCTTTCCACTCCAGTAGACACAAGGCATGTAAGTACTTCAGAATCATAGAGTGAAGATTGTATTGAACTGTTCTTCAACTTTTTTTTTCTTTATCCTTTTGTAACATGCCTTGTTAATACATTTATTAATTGTTGTCTGTTTGAATTCCATGTTTTGTGTCCCCTTTTTTTACCCAGACTCCTATGAGTCCGCCAAATATTGTTTGTAGGACAAATGTACCAGGAGGCATGAAAATAATAATTCTTTCAACTTTTGCGTGAATGGAAAGTAAGAAATCATAAAAAGAATAAAATTTAAAACTTTCAGTTTTATTTCTCAGTAACCAAATCAGTTTCATGGAAAATTTTAATATTGCTACAAAGAAATACACATATAATTTTATTAATTTGTTGGCATAGAAAATG